GATTTAAAATTTGAAAAATTTGTTGCCTTCGTTTTTAAATTTGTTACGCTTTGTACTAACCGAAATTGAACTGGTCTTCGAAATTCTTCGAGAAGAGGAACTTGTGAAGATGATAAAGCGCCGCTCGAGCGTTTTTCTATGTACATAGTATATATATATTTTATTGAAAGTCTTATCAGTTTTAATTGACGTACTCTGTATTTTTGCTTTATTAATTTGTAATGCAACTATTAATATTACTTTTTATCTATATTAAACCGATGTATGAATATTTGTTGTGTATATAAAATATACATTAAAAGTCATTTATGATTTCATGAACTGTTTAGTTATTTTCTTTCGTATATTTATAATTTATCTGTAAATTGCAATCGTGAATATGAAAAATATAATTAAACGTTTATTCAGGGCATAAAAAATAGGAAAGAGATAAGGCAGATGTTTGCTTGGCAAAGCAAACAAAATAGATATATTGTCAGCAATTATATGAAGTAGTTTATATAGTTTATATAGTCTGCCACATCGAGACTTTGGCGCGAGTTTCTTATAAACTAAAAAGCAATATACTTGTTCTATTAGTTAACTTTTTACAGCTTTCAAAACTCTCTTGATCTATTTTTCCTAATATTTTTTAGTACTTTTTCTAAACTTTTTTATATAATTCTTTGTAAGCTGAACTAGTTAAGAACCTGGCACAACTAACCATAAGTTAAATCTATCTACCTTTAACTATTTTCCAAAGCATTTTCATTTCTCAAAAAATAATAATCATAATCTGGAAAGATGTTGGATAAATCGTAATATTTGTGCCATAATTGAATTGAATACCTGATTGAACATCTAAGAAAGCTATATAAATGCCTAAAGCAAAGAACTTGCACCTAACATCATCTATCATATCTATACACTATATTTTCAACAAATTATTATATTATATAAACGCTTCCACTGAAGCATAGAAAGTGAATAAGAATCATAAAATTGATATAGAAGTCAGACCAAGCTAAAAGAATGATGAATCAAAAGCTGAAGGCACATCGTACACATATATACATAAATAGTATTTATAGCTGAAGAGTTCAGATAATGTTGATAAATTTGGAAATATATATTCTGCTACAATTGAAATAAAAAAACGCTCCAAACATTTGCGACACAAGCGATTGTTGTATTCTTTAGAAAAAGATTGGAACAATACATATAATATAATCTATATAGTAAATAAGAATATATGATATCATATATATATAACTAGCTTATGGGACTGTCTGCAGCACTACAAAGATCAGGCAAGCCATGGACGCCTGTGATGTAGAGGAAATATAGCAGCTTTTGCGTTTTTCCTGTATTTGGCTCAATGGAGTTTTCTGTAACGATGGGAGCTGCCTGCTTCGTTGGCTGCTCCTTAGTTTCCAGCTCACGCACATAGTTCATAAAGTTGTCCACATTTAGGGGTGTCTCCTCGACGGCCTTTGCCTCGCCTGCCGCTTGAAGTTTACGTTGAAATTCGCTACGATAATAATCATTAATCATGGACATCATGCTCTTCGAATACCTGTTTATCAGATAATAATATATGAAACATATATATTTTATATAGTCCTTGAGCTCTACCAATAGATAATGCCTATCAGCAGAATGCCCTGCATGAATGGGCCCACCATCTTCTCTGTTAAATGCGCTAGCTCAAGTAATTCTCTAGGTCTATTGCTTCTGTTGCTGTTCCCGAAAGCTTTCCCACCATTGGTTTAGCATGAAGAACTGTTCCTTAATATTCGGCCAGGCCATAGTCACAATCAACATCACCGTATTGGCAAAAACAAACAATTTCATCATCTCAAATGCTGGCAAGGAAGAGAAAGAGGATTGGAAAGGGACTTTCATATATAGTTCCTTCTTACAGACCCTCCGGCGTGCGCAGATAGTCCCCGAAGCCGGAGTTTAGATCCTTGTCCTGTTCATCCCTTTGCTCAGGCGCCTTCTGTTCCTTACTGTGCTTGCCCTTGCCCTCGGCCTTATCCTTGCTCTGGGCGTGTCCTTTGCCGTGTCCGCTATGCTTGTGTCTGCCGTAGCCCGTTGATGTATTGGCGAAGGCCGATTTCTTCGATTTCATTGCATTCAATTGGAGCAGAGATGATAGCTGCTTCTGCCCCTGCTCCTGCTCCTGCTGCTGCTCCTATTCCTTCACCTGATCACGATCCAGCGCCGTGCACGTCCTAACGCTGCCAAAGTTGCTCCAGCAATGACATATCGCCACAATTTGCGACCCACTGCCGAGACTCTGGGCAATTTTATGGTTTCGTTTTTATTGATTTGCATTGCTTACTGGCGCCAGGCGGCGGGTCTAGGGGAAAGCACGAGCTCGTGCAAACAGTCAGTAGAGCAATGCGCTTAAAATATCTATGCCTATTATATTTGTCACCCCGAATTGAATGGAGCACACTGGGCGTCTAATTGATTGCTCGAGTGCGTTAACAAAACTATGCATAGATCTGTTTATACGGCTATGCTTCGATTGTATATTAAATATTAAATCAGAAATATGTTACATATTAAATTAGAATTATTTTAAATCACATATTGGATCTTATTTAATTTGTAACATTTTTCATTCATTTTAATTTTATTGATAAACATGAGAAATTTTAATGAATTTTTTAATTATAAGCTTAGAGGCATTTTGTTTTTGTTTTTGTTTTCATTTTTTTATTTTTATTTTTATTATTCATTCTATTTTTAATTTAATAATATATGTTTATTTTGTGTATAAAGAGTCCGAAATCGAATT